ATAAGCCAAGAAACAAAGATGACAATCTCCGTCAAAATTTGTATTCATTCATAGGGGCTCTGGCTACCGTTATGCAGTTTATTTATTTAATTTTATTTAAACACATAAATATTGGCACAAAGGGGTACCAGATATATATACGCGCCACACAAATCGCATTTGATTTGTGTGAGGGCTATGATACTGCCCAGGTGCCCAAACTGAAGCAGGTGGTTTTCCTAGGGGACCACACCCGGATCTTTTGATCTAAAGATCTGATCCACAAGGCAATGGGGCATTGTGAGGAGATGCGGTCCCATGGTAACCGGTGACCAACGATTGATTCATACGCCATTTGTTCCCTCAGGATACTGGAGCCCATGTACACCATCAGTTTGAAATCACGGTTTTCTGACTCTACTAGGTGGACTCTCCGTGTCCAGCGACCCGGTTAAAACGTCGGACATTCGCTTTTTGTCCTCTCAATTTCGTAAGCAACACCCCGCCGCTGTGAGAAGGCAGTGAGTAGGACTTCGCTGGCACAGGCTATATACACTTGGCCATGTTATGAACGTTATGTAGAAGACTAGTGAATGTCTAAAGTTTAAAATATATCGTGGGAATTTTATCACCTTAGATTCTATTGACTGTAATTTTAGAATTCATGTGAAATTTTATATACAAAGCATGACACTCCATTAATTTTTCCAGACAAGTGTAAGTGAGTTCAAATTCACAGGATGATTGAGTTTAAGAAAAACCATACTAACCATAAAATTACTATTTCCACTTCATCAATTTTGTGATACCGATAAGAAATTTAGCAACCATTTCATACATAGAGCATTCAGTACATTTCAAAGACTTGAAAAATTCTATCGATTAAGTTTTCCATGTGACCGACCAAATAAATCAGTTGATGCCGACTCAGTGGTCTAACAGTTAAGGTCTCTGGCTCGAGACTGGTAGGTCGTGGGTTTGATTCTCGCGAGTGAGGGATCGTGGATGCACACTGTCGAGGAGTCCTATAATAGGACGAAATGGCCGTCCAGTGCTTCCAGGTTGTCCATGGTGGTCTAGCTTTAATTGAATCATGCTTTCAACTATGAAAATACTAAATTCTCCACAAAACCCCTTCTGATAATTAATAAATCAGTTGATACGATAATGAAGTATAGAGGAATGAACAATTAATGGTGACAGATATTACATGCTACCTGACTTAGGTTTCATGCTTACAACTAATGTATCTCCAATATAGTTGAGAAACCAACATCATTCAGCCAACGAACCATGTTTACAGTTTCCACCGCTAACAGCCCATCATAATTATTCTATGAAATTAAGATGAGTTGTTATAGAGACAAATAAAGATAAGGATGGACCGTTTATTCACAGGCATTATGATGACAATGTTAACAATATAATTTGATCATATTCTCAAGAATACTGTTTTATCATTGATTCATACATTTAGATATATCTATTCACTTAAATACTCAATTTAGAATTGTCCCATTAAGGGGGGGGGGTTAATAATAGGGAAATCCAAATGTTAAATTGCTACCCTGGATTTAAGTACCCTACATATCGAACGGTATATATATATATATATAAGTTGAAGTCATGAGTCAATTGAAGCTAGACCACCAGAGAAAACCTGGAAGCACTGAACGGCCGTTTCGTCCTATTATGGAACTCCTCAGCAGTGCACATCCACGATCCCGTCTCTTGAGATTTGTACCCAGATCACTGAGCCGGCACCCAACGGTGTTAATGTCTCGCGAGTGCGGGATCGTGGAGTCCCATGATCAGACGAAACCGCCGTCCAGTGCTTCTAGGTTTTCCATGTATATATATATATATATAAGGACTACAAAAGTTTCCAAATATACTAATTATCTTCCAAAAACGGATGGATACAAATAAAGTACATTGTTATTTTGTTTTTCTCCAATATTACTTGAAAAATACTTCTATCATTTAATCACATGAGAATCTTATAGTAACTGAGTACAATGTGATCAATAAAAAAAATTCGCTTATTTAACACAGATTTATAATTTATGCTTAGAAATGGATTGTCATGGTGACTTGTGTTTAATCTAATTGGAATCAACATTCAATGTATAGAAATAAACAGGTAAATAACTTGTGGAGATACATAATCTATATATATTGAAGATATTTAAAATAAACACTAGTCAGTTGACTTTGTATGTTTTAAACAACAGTTGAGGTGTAAATATCAATGTTATGGTAATCAAGGTCACTTTAAGATGGTAACCAATTAAAAGCATTGCTTTGAGGTTATAAAGAAAGTAGTACGTTCTTGAGTGTATTGATTAATAATTCAATTAGATAAAACTTTAAAAAAGTTATTATCCTTGATGAATTCCAAAAGCTTGAACGACCAATGAATTATGGGCATTTTTTATTAGAATTTTAGATTATGTAGAGATTCATCTAGATTATCTATAAATGCCTTCTGTTTTAACTCCGCCTGTAGCTCTTCAAGAGTTACTGCCGGTCCAAAGCCCAGGTAAAGGAGGAGGGTTGGGCATGGGGTTAACGACCCTATCCCGTAGAAAAGCTAACTCGCTAAAAAACGCTAACCAGAAGAAACAATTCAAACCATTTAAACTCTGCTGAAGAGGAAATTAGGAAAAGACGTTTGAAATGGATAGGACATACATTAAGGAAATCACCAAACTGCATTACAAGACAATCCCTAACTTGGAATCTGGAAGGGAAGCGGAAAAGAGAAAAGCCAAAGAACACATTACGCCGGGAAATAGAAGCAGATATGAAAAGGATGAATAACAACTGGAAAGAACTGGAAAGCATTGCCCAGGGCAGAGTTGGATGGAGAATGCTGGTGAGCGGCCTATGCTCCTCGACGAGGGGTAACAGGCGAAAGTAAGTAAGTAAGCCTTCTGTTTTAAATGAAACTATAATTATGTATATCATTTATTTAGAGATTAGTTAATTCTTCAATCTGCTCTTGATTCTCTGGATGCTGTTTCTTGTTTCAGACAGATTTTTTTACTAAAAAATCGTTTACACTGTTGAAATGACAATATGTTTTCTTTTCCATCAACAGAAACAGTCATCACAATAGGGCTATATTAACAAATACATTGCTTTTTTCTCTCAAACTTCTATTCTGTAAACAATCTGTATTATATTCATTTGGTATTGTTTGTTTGAATCTTCCCATTGATGCTTAGGACTGCAATTGATCAGTCTCTTATTGGTTTATGTGTACACTGTGCGTATTTCCGCGATATAGCCTTAATTCAATATAAGTAAAGATGGATAACGCAATGGCGTTTGAAGCGAATGGCACTGGTTCGAGTCTCAGAGTGAATATCAATTCTGAGATGCAGGTACATCCAGCTGACGACTCCCAAATAGGACGAAACTCGCATCCTGAATTCCATTGCTAGCCACTATCCATCTTTACTTATAACCCATGTTATATCCTAGCGAAGACATAAGTACGGGTAACTTCTGGGATCTAATAATGGACTGTTATTCCATATATATCCTTATTGTTTAACTATTGAGTAATTAGATCGTGTATATCTATATTCATCTTATTATAGGCTTCATTTTGACCTAAGGATTATTATCGTACGAATTACTGTTCCTAAATTATACTCAGTTTATTGATTACTGTATCCCACGTTCACAGACACATTTGGCTTGATCTTGTACAAATATTATTTTTTATTTGATGGTGTGATGCCATCTGTCTGTCTGTCTGGTATATAAACTGAGTGTGCTTAAAATAAATGATTCGCATAACAGAAGCTGCAATTGGTGTTTTTGGACTCAATTGGAAGGGCTAGGCGGACAAGGGATCAATAATGATGCTAGATTGCTCATACCCGTTGAACGTCATTGATTTGGCACAGTGTAAAAATTGGAGTAGTCGTATTCCGATTGGCGGATAACTGACGTGATAAAAGCTGGACATAAAATCATAACAAATTGGCGATGGCATTTTATAAAGTCACAACACAGAGAATGTTTTAATATGAATTAAAACGTAATAATGTAATAATAATGTAATATCTTGCTTCTAAACATATAATACATCAGATATTACATCATAATTAAAATTGAATTAGTATAAAGACTAATTAAACAATCGAATGTATTTGACATCACCATTTACTACTTATGCCCCCAAATGCCGTGGTACGGTCGAGAGTGGGGAGAGTACTCCCTCCCTCTCCAAATGCTCTCATATGACCACGCGTATATAGCCTCTGACAGGGAAGTCCTACTCACTTCCTTCTCAAAGTGATCGGGGTATTTTTTACGAAACTGAGAGGATGAAAATCGAATGTCCGGCGCTTTAACTGGGTTGGTGGACACGGAGAGTCCATCTAGGGGAGTTGGAAAACCCTGATTCCAAACCAATGGTGGACATGGGCTCCAGTACCCTGAGGGAACAAATGGCGTATGAATCAATCGTTGGTCACCGGTTACCATGGGACTGCATCTCCTCACAATGCTTCACTGACTTATGGATCAGATCTTTAGGTCAAAGGCTTGGGATGTGGCCCCATAAGAAAACCATCTGTTTCGGTTTGGGCACCCGGGAAGTATCACAGCCCTCACACATATCTGGTGCCTCTTTGTACCATTATTTATGTCTTTAAATAAATAAATGAATAATAAGATTACTATTATGTTACTAATTTCTTTCAACAATCCAAGCTATTAAGTTTCTAAATATTTGCCGATCTGCTTAAAGTTTACCCGGCCAAGCTCAGTATACTTAACTTTTTTTACAGTGTACAAATCTGCAGCTAATTCCTAAGTTGTAGTTTTATACCTAATGAAACTGTTTCGTGCCAAAAAACTCTCATTCCATAGAGCAAAAGGAAATTACTTATCGGTACGATAGTAAGCCTTTTTTCAATCAAACAGTAATATAATCAATAAATTAATCAGTACTTAACTTAAACAATAATAATATGACACAATAAATAAAATAATTTGTTTACCTGATAATTTTCGTGGACTTAATCTGCCTATATTTTGTTGATTAACAAATAATCTTGCTTGACTATAAATAAATTGTGCATCTTTTTCACAACGTTCCGTCACCGGATCCACTAGATCACCTGAACCCGGTAATGATGAACTAATATAATCAAAGCCTTGAAAAATAAAATTCTCTTTATCTGATCCATGGTCCATTGAAGTTCTATCCGGAAGAGATTGATGATCATATGCTTGTTCAGGGGAGGATCTTCGGTCAGTCGATGAGATTCGACTTTTTACATATGGATCAGAAGATCGTTTATCTACTGTAGGCAGAATTGATGTAACTGTAGAACCACGATGTCCTTCTGTATAAGTTTGTGGTAGTGATGTTGGTGTATCACGATATTGATTATCTAAATGTTCTTGCATTTGTGCAATGCGATTGTTCCATTGACGTTTAAGTTTTTCAAAATTTTCTTTAGATTTCGGACTACTTACAATTGGTTTAGTTTTTCCGGGTGGTTCAGCTCGTCCAATTATTGGAGCTTGTTCTTTTGGCTGACATGAATTTCTACTTGAAATTGGTTGTGGTTTTGGTGAAGCATTTCTTTCAGATACTTTTAAAGTTTTTGGTGGTGAAGGCAGGGGTGATTCTGGCAGTTGTGGAGGTGGAAGGGGTGGTGGAGGATGCAGGATTAATCGGCTTGTCTGAGAATCAGACTCCTCCTTCCCTTTAGGATATAACTTTTCGTACACTGTAACACTTTCAGGCAAAATATTGCTACTATCGAATTTTCCAACATTATCTTTTTCATCACTATCTTCAATCTCTTCTTGAACAAGCACAATTTCTCGTTTACGTCGTCGGCTTTCAGAACGTTCAAAGTTAAAACGATTCGATTTTCTTGAAGTATATTCAGGTCCCATATATCCTAATAGTTCAGCATCGTGAGATTCAGTGGAAGCTAATAAAATGGAAGCCCAATAATCTGTATCAAGATAATCACATATCCGTTCACTTTTACTAACTTGTAAACTATCTAAATTAGTCGAAACGCATAAACTAAGCGTGACTTGAGCTAAACCTTCTTCAGTCATAAACGCTTCTTGACGAATAATACCAATTGTTTGTTTATCAGGCAATACAAACGCTGATTGATACTCACGTTTAATTTTTTTGCCAACAAATGCAATCGATGAAGAAGAGTCCGTTTGTAATGAACGAAAACTTAATCCATTTAATGGCAAAATATTCTCATCTCCGACTCGGTCACCAACAGAGACACTTGTTTGTAAATTAGTCTCTCTTGGCGACTGATTAGAAAAAATCAATACAGATGGAGATTTATCTTCATCGAGTACAATTGACATTAATGACCCTAGACTCCTAGATAGACTGTTGTAACGTCCATCTTGTCGGCGTATATTGCTTGCTGTCCAAACTGTAGTCATTTCGTTATTGCTTAACTTAGAAACAACCTTTCACAGGTCACCTGAAGACCACTTTATCTGTTTACCAATCCATGCGGTTAGATTGGTTTAGCTGAAATAAATGAAATCGAAAAATATATAAAGGTTTTCTACAAAAGAATTATGCATGTTTGATCTTAGTAGGGATTTCTAAATAATTATTTAGATTTCTAGGAGATTGGCAGTTCAGCTCAGGCTTTCCAAGACTTTGACAATGTTCTAATGAACCATATTCTGAATCAAATTCGTAACAAGGGTTGAGTAATAAAGACATACACAAATTACAAGGAAAGATATTCTTTTGGAGTGAATCAAGACCAAAGCCCAAATATGAATAAAGACTGACATATATTCAGTAACAAAAGTTCATACCGATCTTTCTGTTCTTTCAAAGTACTTACTTTTCTACCTACATCTATATTGGTAAAGTTAATTAGAAACCCATTGTGACAGAGGGTTTGTCTACTACTGTTTGCCTTCCATTCAGCAGTGTGTTGTTTGGAACGGAACTAGTTTTATTGTGAAAAATGTTCAACTCTATGCTACTTTCACTATTTGATGAATCTTCTAGCGCAATTCGAATAATAGTCATCTTTAGATAGTAATATATAAACCAACTTATTATCACTGATTCTGTGATTTCAATTTATGTGAGGAATGCTTCAACCATACCTATAATCAAGTACTAGCAATCTACTTATGTTTACTGTAATGAAATGCCATCTGTCATAGTTACAGAATAGTATACAGAGTAAACTCGAATGGAAGAAAAATCGTTATTTCAATCAAAACAGCCAAATTTTGTCCTGAAATCATTCATTGAAATGATAATTGGTGAACAATACTTCATTTTAATTATCGATAGATTATACTTAAGATAAACTCATGTGTTGAGGAAATTCCATAATTGTCATAAGCTGAAAAGGTATTAGGTATCAGTGAAATCCAGGACGAGCGTTCCGTCCTATTTTGGACTCGTCAGATGGATATAACTGCATCCCAGAGCTGATGTTTACTCCGGGATTCGAAGTTAGTACCGTTCGATTCAATCACCATTGCGTTATTTACTTAACTACTGAGTCCAAATAGCCACTAGCTTGCGCGATAGGGCAAAGTTTAATACATTTTTGTATTGGTCGTTTGTTTGAATCTTTCCATTGATGTTTAGGGCTGCAATTGATCAGTCGCTTATTGGCATATGTACATCCTGTGCGAATCGCCTCGATATTGTCTTAAGTCAAAATCATTATGAGACGTAAATATCAATGGGAAGATCCAAACAACCAATACAAAAATGAATCCATGATCATTGTTTATTTGATTGAACTTCATAAGTTGGCACAGAAATACCTTTTATCTGGAAACATTTTCTCATTCATATTCAAATTTCAATTACTTCCTGAACTATGAATTTGTTATACCTATAACTTGAATTTTTGCTTTACTGCGTATGACTTGAGCACTCAAACGCTTGAATCCTCCAAGTCTCAGGTTAGAAGACAGAAGATGGGTGAAAAGAAATCTTACTCCGAAGAGTCACTGTGGTACAAAAGACTCAGGTATTCATAGTTTTTAGTAGCAACGAAATCATCAATAAAAGCATCCAGTGGTTTTTGGCATGTATCCAGTCAAGAAACTACAAGTCGAGATTCTGGGATGTTCTTCTAAACAATAATTGGACGGAATGTCTTCGGCTCTTTCAGAGCTTCTTGGAGCTTTCTTAAGGTCAACGAGAGCCGTCATCAAGAAAGTAATCGATGACTATTATATAATCTGCATAACTAACATATGAAGTGAGCTACATCGAAAGTCAGTAAAATTTGAGAAAAAAACTATTTTTTAAATATAGAGAGGTGTTTATGAGGATTGAAAAACACCCATTTTCATATGGATCTGCCGTTTTAGTGAGGTTTCTTGTACTCTCCAGTCATCTATTTGTTATATCTTGGTGAAGACATAAATACGGATAACTTCTGGGATCTAATAATGGACTGTTATTCCATATATATCCTTATTGTTTAACTATTGAGTAATTAGATCGTGTATATCTATATTCATCTTATTATAGGCTTCATTTTGACCTAAGGATTATTATCGTACGAATTACTGTTCCTAAATTATACTCAGTTTATTGATTACTGTATCCCACGTTCACAGACACATTTGGCTTGATCTTGTACAAATATTATTTTTTATTTGATGGTGTGATGCCATCTGTCTGTCTGTCTGGTATATAAACTGAGTGTGCTTGAAATAAATGATTCGCATAACAGAAGCTGCAATTGGTGTATTTGGACTCAATTGGAAGGGTAGGCGGACAAGGGATCAATAATGATGCTAGACTGCTCATACCCGTTGAACGTCATTGATTTGGCACAGTGTAAAAATTGGAGTAGTCGTATTCCGAGTGGTGGATAAATCGTGTGATAAAAAGTCGGACATAAGACAATAAATTGGCATACGGCCTTATTCTTATAGTCGTAACAAATTGGCGAAGGCCTTTAATGAAGTCACAACACAATTATCCATTTAGATAATTAATAATTTCGGTATTCGGTTGTGGAGATTATTATGCTTTTGATTGAGATCATGAACCGATTATTATTAAACCACCATTGACAATTTGAGTGCTGTTAGAGGTATGAGGGCAGTTATCACCTCCCGGTTGCCCACATCGTGGAAGGGTTCTTCTAGAGGTACCTGAAAAGGAAATCGGGTTAGAAATGGTCTTGATGACCTGACAGCGTGACCGCAGTGCTCAAGAGACAACTGCTTGAGGTCGGTCACACACGACCTGTTTGTGGGTAATTTTTGTGTGAGCTCCGCTCTTCGAAGGACCTTACCGCCGGAGACGGATATCCGTGAGATAAGGTGAGGTGTGCATTTTTAAGGTCGATCTTTTCTAACCCCACCCGTCCTTGTGGGAAAACAGAATCGCTGTTATGCTGGTTGTCTGAAGGAAACACCTTACTGCCATCACACCTCCGTACAGTCAGCAGTACGACTTCGCCTTCGTACCTTGGGTTTGCTGCTTTTAGTCTTACCGCTCTTCAACCGACCTGTCTGGCATGATAGGACCTTGAGGAACGATTGTTCCAGCCAGTATAGCTCGATTGGTTCATCAGGGTAGGCAAGCCCGACCACCACGTCAAGGTAGCAGCAACTTAGGAAAATTTATTCATGCACGATTATACTGAGACCTTTAGGATGTTAGTAGTATGTGGACAAAAGACATAAAATAATGATACACTTAAAGAATCTGACTTCTAAGTACTTCAAAAGACATTTTGTATGATACAAATAGAGTAAATAAGTAGATTGTCACAAAAAAAGAAAGTATTTTGAAGAGAACAAAATCAATGTAGCTTAGATACTGTACAATAAAGTCTTACTGACCTTAGTTTACATACTTTTGGTAGATAGAGAACTAATTAATATGAATATAAAAGAAAATATTTTTTTTGTTTTTATTTCCAAGTACGTGTAGTTTAAGGATACCTTCTTCTCTTAGATGTACTTGAATGTAAAGTATGTTTTGTTATAAAACAAAACAAAACATGATGCACTTAAAAAGACTGTTTCCACAGAAATTTCAGCAAATATTGTGAGATATATCATGTCCTAGTTCAAGTGTTTGCTGGGAATAAATTATATGAATAATTAAACTGAAGTATGTGAAATATAAACTTTATATTCCTATACTGATATTATACTTATAATGTAGTGAACAAGAAAACGGGTAAGAACAATCGAATGTATTTAACTTCACTATGTAATACTTATGCCCCCAAATGCCATGGTACGGTCGAGAGTGGGGAGAGTACTCTCTCCATCTCCCAATGCTCTCATATGATCACGTGTATATAGTCTCTGACAGGGAAGTCCTACTCACTGCCTTCTCAAAGTGACCGGGGTATTGTTTACGAAACTGAGAGGATGAAAAGCGAATGTCCGGCGCTTTAGCTGGGTTGGTGGACAAGGCGAGTCCATCTAGGGAGTTGGAAAACCCTGATTCCAAACTAATGGTGGACATGGGCTCCAGTACCCTGAGGGAACAAATGGCGTATGAATCAATCGTTGGTCACCAGCTACCAAGGAACTGTATTTCTTTACGATGCTCCACTGCCTTGTAAATCAGACCTGTAAGTCAAAGGCTTGGGGTGTGGCCCCCTAAGAAAACCACCTGCTTCGTTTTGGGCACCCAAGCAGTATCACAACCGTCACACAAATCAAATGAGATTTGTGTGGCGCATATATATCTGTTGCCCCTTTGTACCAATATGCATGTGTTTAAATAAATAAATCAATAAAGTTATGTGGATACAGGTAACCCACACCATAATAATCCGCAGCTCAGTAAAACACTATAATTAGATTATTAATTAGATGAACAAACTCTTAAAACAATAAATTGTGTATAATGCCTTTTTATATGAAAGAAATAAAAAGTGTTTCACAAGAAGGTTGCTCAACTTCGTGGATTGGTTGAAGTTAGACATTAACACCGTTGTATGCCGGCTCAGTGGTCTATCGGTTAAGTGCTCTGGCTCGAGACTGATAAGTCCTAGGTTCAAATCTCACGAGGCGAGATCGTGGATGCGCACTGCTAAGGAGTCTCATAATAGAACGAAACGGCCGTCCAGTGCTTCCAGGTTTTCTACGGTGGTCTAGCTTCAATTGACTCATGATTTCAAGTATATAAAACAATAAGGTTAAGTTTATAATCAGAAACTTAAATATCATCTAAAAAGATAGTTAAAAATCATGAAGTAAATAGAATTAAGAATGGGTCCAAGTAGTGACTTTATTGAAATATGAACACCTATAGATAATTCTCATAGTTACTAATAATACAATTAAGCCATAACATCCTAACATATATAGATTAACATTCTTCATTTTCATTTTATAGGACTATTCTTATACGATTTACTTAATGAATGAATAGGAAATGAATATTATGTAGTTAAGATCAGGAGTCAGTTGAAGCTAGACCACCATGGAAAACTTGGAAGCACTGAATGGCCGTTTCGTCCTATTGTGAGATTCCTCATCAGTGCGCATCCACGATCC